TGACAACATAATCAATGTTGCAAATTTTGCCACTTGCTCTCTTGACCTTCCTCCTACACCCCTAATTAAGAAATGTCTCCCGGTGCTCGGTCCCTTCCTCACCACCCTTTAATCTATCCCTAAGCCCATGTAATGTCTGTCACCCCTATCCTTAAAAAGCCTGGTCTTGACCCAACTAACCTTGCCAACTACTGCACAATTTCTAATCTCCCTTTCTTTTCAAAATCTTTGGAACATATAGCCTACTCACAGCTTCTTGCCTATCTTCAAAAAAATAGCCTCCTTGAACCACTTTAGTCCGGTTTCCGCCAGATTCACAATGCAGAAATTGCTTTAGTTAAAGTCTAAAATAACCTACTTGTTGCAACAGACATTTGTGCCATAAGCCTTCTACTTCTGCTTGACTTAAGCGTGGCTTTCGACACAGTCTCTCACCCTATTTTAACCCTCTGGGTAGGGAACACACTTTCACTGACTGGGGCATGGTCACACATTTCATTCAATATCATAAACTTAATTCATGACAAATAAATTATTTCTAATATATTTGTTTTGGCATTACACTCATCTTAATTTTAATGTATATTGTAAATATGTCAGATTCATGTTACGTTTGCAATCTGACATCAAAGTATACACATTGCAAAATGCAGTTTGGAACACTTGCAGAAACACTATAAAAAGTATATAGTAAGCAATGCTGGCAGTGTTTTGATCCCAGATATCTGATCACCAAAGTCTTGGCTACATGAGGATGACTAAATGATGTAGTTACAACATTCAGTTGGATAAATAAATAAGGAAAACCTAACTCATGTCACTATTTCTGGCGTCCTTCCATTGAATATTTAGGAGCTCTCATGTGTATGAATGAGCCATTGTCACCTGGCCACGTCCCCCACCCCCTTTTATGGCGCTGATGAGGATGTATCTGGATCGTGTTTCACTGTTGCGCTGTTAATCAAATTACCATGTGAATGCTATTTGAATACATGGTTATGCAGTTATTTAGAATGTGACCTTCAAAGTGAGGGCGCTACTACACGCCCCCGATGCAGGTAAAACAAAGTAAGATGACATGGTTTATTTTTTTGCTGATTTAACCTAATTTAAAAAACTTTAATATTTCCGACAATGGACGTTTTGAAAAGAAGACAGATTACGGATTTAGCCAGTGTTTTTTCATGATTCTACATAAAGATTTCAGTGAGATATAAACTGAAATAGACGCAAAAAATATGCTGCATTGCCGACAATGTGCTCATCCCCAGACGGTTAATACACAGACTCCACAAGCAAGGAGTTTGTGGGGCAGTGCTTGATTGATTTATCTCCAATCGCACTGACAGAAAACATTTAGTTACCCTATCAGGTCATAAATCAGACACATTAGTGATCACACCTTGCGTCCCCCAGGGCTCTGTCCTGTTCTTCATTGTTTACATTCGACCCCGGGGTCAGATCATTCACTGCATTAACCTAAATTTTCATATCTATGCCGACGACACTCAGGTCTACTTCAGTACCAGCTCCACAAACAACCTGCCACTTGCACACATTGAATCATGTGTTTCTGAAATGAAACCATGGATGAGCCAAAATTTTCTAAAACTCAACAGTTATAAGACGGAAATGTCTTTGGAACAAAATCCACACCTATGAAAATCAGGCCGATTACCCTCCAATTGGACCACACCACCGTTTCCCCCTCTCCTCTGGATCATAACCTTGGTGTTACCTTTGACCCAACCCTCTCATTTGATGCACACGTGTTCCATAGTAAAAACAGCTTACTTACATCTTCACATCATCATCACCGAGCTTATGCCTTTCCTTTCCAAATCTCCGGCTGAGTCCCTTATTCATGCCTTTATCTCAAGTCATCTAGATTGCTGCTCATTACTCGCTGGTATTACTGGTAAATCAATCCATAAACTCCAAATAGTTCAGAACTTTGCTGCCCGCCTCCTCACCCACATTCACTCCGACAAACACATCACTCCCATACTTCAGAGCTTTCAGTGGCTCCCTATGAAATAATGCATCCACTTCAAAATACTTCTGACATTCAAAGTTCTCAACAACCAAGCCCCATCTTATCTTTCTGAACTGCTTCTCCCCTATCAGCCTCCCCACACTCTTAGACCCTCCTCCTCTGTCTCTCTCCTCATGCCCTCCTTCCAAACTCCATAGCTATGGTGACCACGCATTTTCCTGTCTAGCTCTCCAACTATGGAACTCCCTCCCTACTGCTATTAGTCTGTCGATCTCGGTCTCAGATTTCAAACACAAGTTAAAAACCTTTCTCTTTGCTCAAGCTTATGATGTTCCTTATCCATAATATGGTTTGCTGTTTTATCTGTTTCCTTTATTCTATGTAAGCATCTCTGAGATCCTGAAAAGCACTAAATAAATCAAATGTATTATTATTATTATTATTATTACCTGTTCTGGCTCAAGATCTTTGTGTATCTGAAGAAGGGCGAACACTTTCGTTAATCTAAGGAAAAGATAAAATAGTTATTGCAGCAGAGATTTGTCAGTGTTTCATATGTCAATATGTTTATCTTACGTATGCCCAATATCACCTTAAATTTAGGTAATTCTATCAAATATAATTAGTAACAGGATTTCAATTAAGGGTATGGTCCCCGTACAAAAGCTGGATAAAGGAGCTGAACTCTGATGAATGAAATATCTACAACATCAAATATGATGCAATAAGTATAACTAAACAAAACCCTGTAATATGGCACCCGGTAAGTCTGCCAGAAATGTAGCATGTTAACACATAAGGAGACGATGCAGTGGATGTCTTTGTAGTTTGCGTGGTGACTCAGTGGGTAACACTGGCACCTCACACCCCCCCACTTGGGCTCTGTGTAGTTTACTTTCTCTCCCCATGTTTCCCCAGATACTCCGGTTTCCTCCCAGTCCCAAAACATGAGGTTAGGCCAACTGGCATCTCTGAATGTCCCCTCGTATGTGAATGTGTGTTTGCTCTGTGATGGACTGGCATCCTGCCCAGGGTGTCCCCTGCCTTGTGCCCTGTGCTTCCTGTGACAGGTGACAGGCTCACCATGATGGATGGATGAATGGATGAATGGAAGGATTGATTGATGGATGGATGGATGGATGGATGGAGTGATTTCATCAAAAATGTCTACTCACTTTTTTTTTTGGGCCAAACCTGTAATTAAATTAAAAAAGAAACTATTAACTATGCAAGAGCTCAAAATAGTAAGACATCAATATGGAATTCTTTGATGCCACGTTTCTATGCCATACAGTGTGGCGAATAAATAATATAATGTGGTTACAAATTATATACAATTCATCCATGATAGATACAGGAAACACAGGTCAGATAAAGTGTCACTCTGAGTACTCATTTTTAAATTCAATATCGTTATTCATTAATTACTGAGTGATCACTCAGTTTTCTGTATGATTAGTGTTTATTACTGGTTTACTGCCTTTCTTGCTCCTGTCTCCCTGACTTGGACATGGGGAGATGTAAACAATTAATGGAAAGCTGTCAACATGCTGGAAAAGTCCCAGTTCACATATTCAGCCTTTATGGTAAGTTATGCATCGTATCTCTGTTATACTTACAGTATGCAGACATCTGAATAACAAGCCAGCCAAAGAGGAAGACAGACCCAGAAATCAGGACAATCAGCCGCAGGTCCAATGGCTGTTTTCCTGTGTCTGAAATGACATGATCACAACAATCACTGAGAACTGAGGTCAGTAAATAAGCAGTAAGTGACAGATATTAAAATATAGGAATCCACGTAGTATTTCCTAAAGGGTTTGTACAATTTAGTTGCATTGTTTAGAGGATGTTTACACAGTAAAAAGTAAATTATCAGGAGGAAAAATTTCTAGAGTATTTACCTGCTTTGAGTATTAATACTACAGCCAGGGCAACAGAATTCACGAGAGGGAGACCAAAAGCCCCTGAGAAATATGCATATTTACGGGGTTTGGCTGAATGGTAGAGAGAAAAGCATTAGTCATACAGCTACATATATACATTCAAACAGCCAAACATCTGTGAATGTATATTTAATAACAATATACAATCAGAAATAATTTAAACATTAATTCTCTTTTCAAAAAATTAAAAAAAACTGTTTGGTAGCTAATGTGAAGAAAATGCATAACTGATTTTACAAGCACATTCATGAAACACAAATGGATTTAAAAGTGTAACTAATAAAAATATCAAAATATTAAAAAATTAAAAAATTATTTGTACCAAGTGATTCATCCTGAAGCCAGTCTTTAAAACTTGATACGACAGTCAGGATGTAGATGAACACAAACTCACACATCTTTACAGGTAGACCTGTAGTCAAAATTAATTTCAATTTTTAATACAACAGAGGTTATTATTATACATCTATACATACAAACAAAATGTTTGCCTTAAAGCACAGCCAGAAACAGTTTCATATGGAATACATTATAATGAGCATTTTTATTTAAAGCAAAATGCAATTTAATAAGTATGCATACCAGAAATAACTACAATACTGCAATGTTTGCATCACATAGAAACAATTTTAATTTAACACCATTTATTGAAAACGACTGATAGTTAAAGCTCTGTTACAGTGATATGGTTTGTATACAGTTAAAGCTTTTACCTTTGTCATTTTCCAGAATCACACTTAGATTCAGGAAACTTAATATTAGGTGAAGCATGAAGAAAATCCCCAGAAGTATTTTCTGAGCCAGATCTAAAAAAACATCAAAATGTGAACGACAACAGATTAAATAAACATAACATACAACAGACCTTCATAGTCCCTCTGTTTGCTTTTTGGCGTGATATTTTTGAAGGGTGGACACTTGAAGGGGGTGGGCAAAATAAAAAGCAAATATCAATATATGAATATTAAAGGCCTAATAAAGAGAACAGCTTCAATCTTCCTTGGACACCCCCTGACCTGTGTGCAGTGGGATACTGGGCCATTCAGAAAGAAAAGCCCCCAGTTCTTTGGAGCATTAAGGAGGTGGGAATCGACTTCACACACTGTGCTCCAGAACCTCCCATAAAGCTTTAATGGTGTTTAGATCTGGTGGCTGGGAGGCCAAGGAAGGCATCTGACTTCATCCTGGTGCTCATGAAACCTCTCCTGAATCTGTTTAGCAGTGTGTATGGGGGCATTATCATCTTGGGATAAGGGAACATCATGAGGGAACAGTGTCTGAGCCACAGGGAGCAGCTGCTCTTGTGAAAAGCCCTCATGTTCCTTGGCTGTTATAGGACCATGCAGAGCATCATCAGACCTAATATCCTATCTGTGAGCTTAGACTTGTGACCACTGTTCCTCTTTGCCAATACAATTTGATTGTGTGTTTTTTCAGACTGTACCCCTTGATGTATTAATTTTCGTATTTTTGTGGCCGATGCACCAGCTATTTGGCCCCTTTGGAATTCTGCTAGTTGCCTCACTTTACTTTGAAAACTCACATATCTAGTGCTGATTGAGCCCTCTGGGGCTCAAACTGGTTCTTTTTCTGTTATTCTATCCACACCGTATATGTTATAACTGAAAATTTCAATAAAAATTGGGGAACATGAATCAAATCATTAAAATTTACTCAATCAACTGATACTCAAAGCTAATCAATTAGCCAGGCTAATACAGTAGTTGATACAACTACAAATTTTGACACCATTCTTATTATATATATTTCTTGTCCTCATTTTACTTTTTTGACATACAAAGAGAATGATTGCTTATGATATGTAGCTATTCCTGCTACAATGCACCTAATGCGTTTCTGAAAAAATTCGCGTATACTAAAACTGTATACTAAAGTTCACATATCCAAGCGGAAAAATATGGTTAGGGAAATGCGACTCCAAAACTTAGTAACTTACAGCAAACAAAATTACCTAAATAATAAAAACAGTGAACAGTGTTGGGGAGTAGATAACTACAATTAGCGACGCTACTAACTTAACTACTTTTTTCAGTAGCTTATTAGTAGCGGAGTTACTTTTAAAATGCTGTAGCTTTTCCAGTAAATCACTTTTTTTTAACAAATAAACTATATTGCCAAAAGTATTGGGACACCTGCCTTTACACACACATTAAATTTAATGACATCCCATTCTTAATACATATGCTTTAATATGGAGTTGGTCCACCCTTTGCAGCTATAACAGCTTCAACTCTTCTGGGAAGGCTGTCCACAAGGATTAGGAGTGTGTTTATGGAAAATTTTGACCATTCATCCAGGAGAGCATTTGTGAGGTCAGGCACTGATGTTGGATGAGAAGGCCTGGCTCTCAGTCTCCGCTCTAATTCATCCCAAAGGTGTTCTACTGCCAGTTGTAGTTGTAGCCAGTCAAGTTCCACCACACCAGACTCGCTCATCCAAGTCCTTGTGGACCTTGCTTTGTGCACTGGTGCACAGTCATGTTGGAACAGGAAGGATCCATCCCAAAACTGTTCCCACAAAGTTGGGAGCATGAAATTCTCCAAAATGGCTTTGAATGCTACAGCACTAAGAGTTCCTTTCACTGGAACTAAGGAGCCAAGCCCAACCCCTGAAAAACAACACCACACCATAATCCCTCTTCCACCAAACTTTACACTTGGCACAATGCAGTCAGGCAAGTACTGTTCTCCTGGCAACATCCAAACCCAGACTCGTCCATCGGATTACCAGACAGAGAAGCATGATTCGTCAATCCAAAGAACAAGTCTCCACTGCTCTAGAGTCCAGTGGTGGCATGCTTTACACCACTGCATCCGATGCCTTGATTTGCTCTTGGTGATATAAGGCTTGGATGTATTTGCTTGGCCATGGAAACCCATCTCATGAAGTTCTCTATGCACTGTTCTTGAGCTAATCTGAAGGTCATACGAAGTTTGGAGGTCTGTAGCTATTGACTCTGCAGACAGTTGGCGACTTCTGCACACTGTGTGCCTCAGCATGCACTGTCCCTGCTCTGTGATTTTACGTGACCTACCACTTTGTGGCTGAGTTGATGTTGCTTCCACTTTGTTATAATACCACTAACAGTTGACCGTAGAATATTTAGTAGCGAGAAAATTTCACAAATGGACTTATTGCACAGGTGACATCCTATCATGGTACCATGCTTCACTGAGCTCCTGAAAGAATAGTGACCCATTCTTTCGCAAATGTTTGTAGAAGCAGTCTGTATGCCTAGGTGCTTCATTTTATACATCTGTGGCTATGGATGTGATTGGAACACCTGAATTCATTGATTTGGAGGGGTGTCCCAATACTTTTGGCAAAACACTACATCGTTAAAAAAATATTACAGGTACTCATCGACTTATGACCTATGCAACTTACAACCAAATCAACGTACAACTCGTCAGTTGGAAGAGATCGCGGTCGTAAGTAAATTTTTGTTTTATAACGTCCTTCTGATTCATACTTTAATAATATTCTCTATTAATTTTCTCTCTTTACAAAGATGGGTATTTTCAGCTACCGGGTGTTTCTGATTGATGTTTTTTGCTTAAATATTCTGGGGATGGATGTTAAAGGGATGAAGAATACTTCACAGTAAACAATATTTAAGACACTTTCATTAAAATCCATAGGAGAACTCTGGTTCTTGGACAGATTATCAAAATTTCTTTTTCGTTATAACCCTTCTAATTTTCACACAGCAATTGTGAAGCACTCTTGGTTTACATCAAAGAAATTTTTTGAAACGTTGTTGTGATTTGACATTACACTATGAAAAAATATTACTTTTAACAACATTTCACATTTTTTAATTTAATTTGCTTTAAGAGTATCCTACAGCACAAAAAAATTAAGTATTATCAGATGAAATAGCTTTGATGTGATTAGCTACTTTTTCTCTGTAGTTAACTGCTATATTAAAACAGTAATTTGGCTGTAGCTTAACTACTTTTAATCATAATTAGCTTGAAGCTTGAATAGCTACCATTTAAAAGGAGCTTCCCCAACACTGGAAGCGAATAATGTAATTATATGTATTTTAAATAAAAAGAAATAGTACTACATCAATAAATGAGATCATAAACATTTCCTATGGGTCTTATGAGTCTCACAAAAATCAGCTAGTAACACCTTCAGCCAAACGTGCCGAACTTGCTAACTTGTTGATTGCCGAGTCAGGAGTAGTGAGCTGTAGCTGGGCATGCACACTGCACAAACACAATGGATTACGCACACTGCACAAACACAATGGATTACGCACACTGCACAAACACAATGGATTACGCACACTGCACAAACACAATGGATGACAGTATGTGGAGGGGCACTGAAGGTAATATGGCTATAGGGAGTCTATGAAAAGCAAATGTAAATGAATTTTTAAAAGTTGCTGTCTGTTTTAAATAATAATTTGCCAAATATTTTAAGATTTTTAGAATCCAAGGCTTTAACTTGTGCAATGTGTGGATGTACAAAAAGTTTGACTCTTTTAGAGCTTTTAGAGCCTAATTTAGAGCTTGGCCGATTCACTGATAAGAACTGGTTCAAAAGAACAATGCATTCATGAATTGGACATCACTACCATTCACTTGGATATCTGTTTCTGCATGGAAGCAGTGTTTCTTGCTAAGACCACATCGTGTCGTACTTCACGAGGTGCTTTTCTCTCCGACTGTTGAGGTTTGCTGTTTTTATACTTGTAGTATACCTTTTTTTGTCCAAAATACACACACGGGCTGCGTGAGCTAGAAATTTGAATGTATTTACTATTGTATTATCTTACATAGCTTATTGTTGTAAGGCAGCTGGCCACATAGGACTCTATGACCCTAGACTTCTTCTATATAAGATTGTAACAGGTCTGCATGCTGTTTAGCCAAATAGTTACTTCAATATTAGTTTAAATACTAGAACTCGTGGCCATAGGTAGAAGTTAGCGGGAGAACATTTTAAAATGGATTTGAGGAAGCACTTCTTTACACAGCGTGTAGTTTATAAATTACACATTAGTGTATTTAGTGTAGCGGAAGCTAAAACCTTGGGTTCCTTTAAATCAGAGCTAGATAAAAATTTTAACAACTCAGAGCTATTAGTTAAGTTCTCCCCAAACAAGCTTGATGGGCCAAATGGCCTCCTCTCGTTTGTAAATTTCTTATGTTCTTGAGTCAGAAGTGTTATTTTGTTGCCAATTGAAATGTAATGGGACTAGTCCACTAGATTTTCTGCCGGCCCTTCCATGCAATTATTTCTGGCTCATAAATGTGTATCTGTACTTTCTAGGATGTAGCAGAATGACTGAGGCTCTGGCCTTTGTTAGGGTCACTCAGGAAGCCCGGCTCTGTGACCCCCAGAAGGTTTGGTGTATAATGTTATATGGTTTATCATTCAGAGCTGTACTTTCCCACCATTTTATACTGAATCTGACTAGAATGCTAACAATTAGCAATGGAATGATAACAATAGGACAGCCTATAGAAGAGTTTCCCAACCTTTAGATCTTGTTGGACTGGTTTACGCTGTACAAAAATTTCACAGATTATTTTTGGAAATTGACCAACCCCTCCGCAGAACCCCCAGCATTCTGTAACCCCATGGGATACTGGCCAAGTTTTTAATAGTACTTTTAAATACTTAAATTATACATACTGCCATTAAATATTAGCATCATTATATAAACTACTGCAGTTTTAAACTACATACATAAACTACTACATACATTTAGTGAACTGTATGGTGTTTTAATTACACTCTGATAGCTCATTTTAAAGTGTGACATTTTAATTATGCACATGAAAAGTCCTGCTAATGGTTTAGTACAAAATTTCATACTTACAGTAAAATCCCTCCAAGGGCTTATCAAGATAATGCAATAAAAAATCCCTGACAAATAAGCAGGCACAGATTCCCACAGCAGCTACTGCAACTGCAATTGAATATCCTGAAAAGAGAAAGACCACATTAGTCTGTCAGGTATAATTATCAGTAGTCCCACATCCTATCACTAATATAACTATATTTCAGAACATGACTGTGTTTCATTAATAAAAGTTTTGTTCATTTAAACAATTGTTGTCTGCCCTTCTAGTCTCATTACAAAAGTATAATTCACACAATCGAACCCTTATCACTGGAGGTCTGAAGCTACAGCTGTGCCCACTGACTCGCCGTACCACAATACACAGAAGTTATTACAGTACAACCCCGTTTCCAAATGTTAAAACTGAGAAATTTTATTGTTTTATGACAAATATATGCCCAATTTGAATTTGATGTTAGCAACAAAAAAAAGCTGTGACAGGGGCATGTTTACCACTGTGTCGCAACACCTCTTCTTTTAACAACACTGTGAGCGTTTGGGAACTGAGGAGACCAGTTGCTGGAGTGTCGAAAGTGAAATGTTGTCGCGTCAAAGGCAAGACGCGCAAATTACTTTTCCAAAGGCCATGAATTTAACATAAGAAGATAAATATTTATAAATATAATAGTAAATCACTCAACTCATAACCCTTTTTGATCCAGACATATTTGTGTTGTAAACTGTTAAATTTAAAATGTCCCAATTAAAATTGTAATGACAGAAGTGTTTTTAAAATGTAAAAATTCTTACTACATATATAAATAAACACTCACAGCTTAATTGTGCTAGTGATTGCAACAATATATAGAATAATGGGCTACAAACTGTATCTAAAAACATTTTGAAATGTGAATAACTTTTGTCCTAACTTTTGCCCTTCATCAATGTCATTCAGTATAACAAAGATAAAAAGTAATTTAAAGCAAATTGTCATGATGGTAATCGTGTGGCATTTTAACTATTTTATGGTATTTTAAGGCATGTTATCTTCATGCTGCAGATGCCATTGTCTAATAAGCAGAGGGCTGCATAGCACAGACAGAAGATCACCTCAGATCCAGCTGCTAGGCAGGAAAGACTAACCAGAAGAAGGGAAAGATGCAGTTGTCATGGTTTCATGTGGCTGTCAGCAACAGAATAGGATACAATAGGATAATACAATAGCTGGGTGGGTAACACTTCATATTAAGTTGCACAACTACACTGTAGTTAAAGTTTTATTGCACTGCATTTATGGTATAACTGACGGATTATATTATTATTATTATAATAAAATATTACAGGGGTGGCATGGTGGTGCAGTGCTTAGTGCTGCTGCCTCACAGCAAGAAGGTCTTGGGTTCGATCCCAGATCTGTTCAGCGTGGAGTTTGCAGACTGTTCATGTGGGTTTTCACTGGGGGCTCTGGTTTCCACCCACAGCCCAAAAGGGTGCAAGGTAGGCTGATTGGTGTGTCTAAATTGGCCCTGAAGTTGGGTGAGTGTTGGTTCCCACTTGCACCTGTTGTTCCTAGGATAGGTTCTGCCCCCCACAACCCCAGTGAGGTTTAAGCAGTTACAATAATGGATGGATAAAATATTACATAGTTCAACTATGTTGCACAGTAAAACCCATGTTTTTTAAGTTTAAGTTCAGCTAGTCTGCACATTTCAATTTTTTTTAAGTTTATGACTTAAACACCTAAAATAAAAATAATTTAATTGATAATATTTTCTGCGCTGGAATGATTTATGTTATTCAAGGCAACAAAATATTGTCATTCAGTATAACACCAGTATGTCATATAAATGCATTTTTTTCAGTGTAAAGTAGAAATGTTTTGATAAATATCTTCTACAGCATTTGAGATGTACCTGTGACACATCAAAGATGGTGCATTTAAAATAAAATAATGTATTTTTTTTCTGGGTAGTAAAATTTCTGCCAGTCTGAGCATGGATTTATAAAAACATTGCCAGTCTAACACCAGGACTCTTCTTTAAATGTGCTTCATATACAAAATACATTTTGTAATTGTATTTATTAAAATAATCAGCAGGGTGGCATGGTAGCGTGGTGGTTAGCGCTGCTGCCTCACAGCAAGAAGGTCCTGGGTTAGGTCCTGGGTTTGGTCCTGGGTTTGGTCCTGGGTTTGGTCCTGGGTTAGGTCCTGGGTTTGGTCCTGGGTTTGGTCCTGGGTTTGGTCCTGGGTCCTCTCTGTGCAGAGTTCGCACGCTCTCCCCGTGTTTGCGTGGGTTTTCACTGGGGCTCCGATTTCCTCCCAAAGTCAAGCATTCAGGGCAGGCTGATTGGTGAGTCTAAAGTGTGTATGTTGGCGACTGCCCATGGTTGGTTCCCGCCTGTGCCCCTTGTTCCCAGGATAGGCTCTGGGCCTCCCCACAACCCCAGTTGGGATGAAATGGTTATGGGGATGTATGGATGGAAAATAATCAGTGTAACTCTGTCTCAATTGACAAACACAAGACTGATACCAAGTATGAAAACTGCAGGAAACTCACCCAATATCAATGTGTTTTGCATCCAAGCAAAGAGTTGGGAGTAAATAGCGAGGAACAGGATGTTAGACAGTGTGGGATCATCTGTAAGGCAAAGAGAGCAAATCAGACACCCTCATTCTCTCATCAGTCTGTACAGATATAACATGATATTAAATAACAAAGTGTCCTTGGGCTTTTCTTCCCCTGAGATACATCCTGTCGCCCCAGGGCCCGACTGCACTGTGATGTCCACTTGTTATTCAGTGTCAGGTGCTGGTATTCCCCTTGTTATTTAGGTCCCAAGTGTTGATACTCCCCTTGATATTCAATACCTTGTTATTCAGCACTAGGGCCGTACAAGGTGCCAGCGGTCCACTTGTTATTCAGCACTAGGGCCGGTACTCCCCTTGTTAATCCGTACAAGGTGCCAGCGATCCGCTTGTTATTCAGTACCAGGTGCCGGGACTCCCCTTGTTATTTAGGTCCCAGGTATTGGTACTGCCCTTGTTTTTCAGTTCCTGGTCTAGGTACGCCCCTCATTATTTAGCACCAGGTGCCAGTACTGCCCTTGTTACTTAGATATCAGGCGCCGGTACTCCCCTTGTTATCCAGCACCAGGCGCCGGTACTCCTCTTGTTATTCAGCACCACAATTACAATGTTTTCCTTTTAGAGATGCCCACAGTTACTATCCCTGTTCCTGGAATATTTTTACCCAAATAAATACAGTCTCTCCGGGATGATGCTCATTCACCCACCACAGGCAGTATGTATTTGTCTAGCATAATTCTGCCACAGTACTTACACATGAAATACAGCCAGATTAAACAAATTTCTTCAAGATCTACTTTCCCAGTTGTCCTTCGGGAGTGTATTATCCAAAACACACTGAATCCAACTGAAATAATTAAAGAATAGAGTCAGTCACCATGAAATTCATGTCAGACAGAGTGAATAACAGATGTCCTGTGTTAAAAAACCCTGAACTGCATAGCCCTGATACCTGGAGGGTTCTGGGTTTGAATCCCATGTTGGCACCTCCAGTTTAAAAGGCAGCTTTTACTGGGGTATGAAAGGTTAAATGGGGTGGCTCAGTTGGGTATTGGGTCATAGTACCCTAATTAGCTACACATTAATTATGGAAAATACACTTTCAGTGCATGAACATGCTCAAGTTCAATGTTTGTGTTTCCCACAATGTAGCAAATAAATATCTCTATACATAATTATGCTCCAATATCCCTGAACTTCCTGAGCAGTTTAAAGCAAATTTAAAATCAACACATTTACAAAACCTGAAATCGTACTTACCTGGGAATAAAATCAAGAGGACTGGAATCATTAGCATAGATAACATTGTTCCAAGTTGTTCTTTCCAAGCTGCATCTGAGTGATATTTTGCCAGATAAACACTGACAGCAACTGAAATAATGTAACAATAGAGTTCGTCACCATGAAATTCATGTCTATCAGAAAGTAAAAACAGACACACTCTGTGGCCCTGTGTTTAAATCCCTGCACAGCAAAGCCCTGTTGCCTGAGGGTTCTGAGTTTAAATCCCATGTTCGACACTGAGGTACTAAAAGCATCTAGATAGATGTAGACCGATAGAAAGATATGAAGCAGGTTAAGATGCATTATGGAAAAGGAACTGTCATTTGGACACTGTATCATCCATCCCATAATGTACCTATCGACAGCGAAATAAAGACACATTGTAACCATCCATGTTGCATATTTCTGAAATCTCAGTTCCCTAAACAAACATTGAAAATAACAAACACATTTATCCATCTGTACATCCTTATGAAGTGCAGTGCCATGGTGATCTATCCCAGTTAGCACTGGGCACGAGGCAGGGTACACCCTGGTGGGGTGCCAGTCCATAACAGGGCACATCCACTCACACACAATGGGCCGTTTTAGTCTCCATTTTACCTAAATGCGTGTTTCTAGGGTGTAGGGGGCAAATAGATAATAAACTGGGAGAACATGCAAACAGCACACATGTGAACTTATACATGGACTTACTTATGGATGAAACCATGATGAAGAGAAGTATAATCCCAGTTATTCCTGCTATGTAGGCAAGTAGTTTCACTGAGGAATATTTTACCCAAACCACAAACCGAAGAACTGAAAGGAGGTGAGAACAGAGTCAGTTACCACAAAATCCATGGCAGGCACATAGCAACTAAACAGATGTGTTCACAAGTCCTTTGTTTAAGACTGCACAGAACCCTGTCGCCTGGACGTTCTGGGTTTGAATCCCATGTTGGACACAGTGGTACTAAAAGTATGTCCCATTTTAATTTGTTGATGGAATTATAAGGGTTATTAAAAGGTAACCAGGATGATTGGGGGAGAGGTTGTGTCACACATCCTATAATACACACATATCCATCTACCCATCCTGGACAGGATCACTGGGGGCCTGGAGCCTCTCCCAAGCAGCACAGGGCAGAGGTACAGCTTGGATGGGAGGCCATACACACACAGTCACATGCTATGGGCAACTTACAGACACCAATTACCCTGAGAGGGAGACTCTGGAGGAAGCAGGAGTAGCTGGTAGAAATTGACATGACATGGGGAGGACATGCAGACTGTACACAGACACAGAGGAGGGGGACTCAAACCCATATGACATGGGGAGCACATGCAGACTGTACACAGACACAAAGGAGGGGGACTCAAACCCATATGACATGGGGAGCACATGCAGCCTGTACACAGACACAGGGGAGGGGGACTCAAACCCACATGACACGGGGAGCACATGCAGACTGTACACAGACACAGAGGAGGGGGACTCAAACCCAAATGACACGGGGAGCACATGCAGCCTGTACACAGACACAGAGGAGAGGGACTCAAACCCACATGATATGGGGAGCACATGCAGACTGTACACAGACACAGGGGAGGGGGCCCACCATGCTGCCCCACATGGAAATAGACTAACAGTTAACAAAACAGATATTATACAAATTTAAATGGTGTAAATCATCATTCTGTGTTTAAATACAATATAGAAAAGAACTATGAAAATGACTAATTGTGGTCCAATATTCCTAAAATCCATGTATAAAGTTACTTACTTCGGAATATAGCAATACAGATGAACGTAAATGTGATTCCACCAAAAATGCCTCCATAGAGTGATTTCTCAGATTGAGTTGGGGAAAATTTTGCTGAAAATTCAATGAAAGAACCTGTGATGAGGAAAGAATAGTCAGTCATCATGTAATCAATGACAGACTGGAAAACAGACAAATGTGTTCAGTGCTTTTGTTCAGTAAAGTGAGGATCAAACAGCAGGTCAGCCTGCGGTTAAGGTGATCAGATCACTCTGCCAGCCACATAACTTAAACCAGCAACGTATGGACACATACTGTACATATCAGCCTGAAAGCACACACTCATGGCACGAGGGAAGTACTGGGTTAGAGAATTTTAATTTAGGAGGGATTATGTTTACATATTGGTTAATGTTGCTAGTTTTGCTGTGTTGGAGATATGTTACACTAAATTAGTGTAGTACCACTACTCTAGTTTAATTATTTAGTTATTTATTACTTTATTTAGTTAAATGTGGTCCTTGTCAGGTCCTTGTCAGGTCCTTGTCATACCCACCCTGCTAAGGACCATCCCTCTTAGCTGGGTTACTGCATGGGGGAGTAAGCTGGGGATTCAGGGGGGAATCGAGCTCTGATTTAAAGATGTATTTTAAAACCTGCAACTCTGTGACTGACAGATGAAAAATTAATGGTACATAATAAAACACTGAAGATGTTTGGCATCTTCAAAGATGCACCACAGCGTGTTTAATATTTTACCAGGAGCTTTTGTCCAAAACATAATACAATTAGGCATCAGAGATGAGGATCAGCCAGTGTTCCTGAAGCAGCTGGGATTAAGGGTCTTGCTTAAAGGCCTAACACTGATAATGTTACTCTGCAAAGCAATAGGATTTGAACCCACAACTTTCCAGACATGGGCACAGAGCCTTAACCTGCTGAGATGCACACTTCCCCACATTGCTACACTTAAACTTACCTGTGCATACAACTGTGATAATGATGGTGCTTCCTAAGGACAGGGTCATGAATTTAATCTCACCCACTTTTCCTGTAAAAGTGAAAAGTGTTATTTTATCAAATACAACTCAACATAACTATAGCACATCTCAAATCACAACAGGTATCCCTAATAACTGGAACTGCAAAAAAGGCAACGGTAACTAATAATGCGACTCTCACTCAGCCATCCATTACAGACATTCTGAAAACACACGAACTGTACACACCAGACAGCAAGAAAGCTAAGGATATAACCGCGAAGATAATGGAATTTATATGCATTGACCACCAGCCTCTGTCAGTCACAGAAGACATTGGATTTAAAAATTAAATCATTTTAAAAATTATTTTAATGAAATTATCTTTTTGATTTCTAAAACTCTTCAATTCATTATATACATAATTATGAGAGTAGTTCCAATTATCACCAAAACAAATAAGTGGTTTATACTAGCAATGCACGGCATACCAGTATTGATAAAGTACCATGGCACCGCACTTTTGAAAGCTGTTCGGCATCATATTTCTCTAGAACTAGTACTATTTACAGTATTACAGACATTGCTAACGTCAACCATAGAATCAGAACCATGGACCACTGCAGAAACTCCATTATACTCTATGTCAAAATTACACACATCATGCTTTAACCTCCTGAGACCCGACCTATTCATTTATGTCCATTGTAGTGGACATTGTATTTTTGCATTTATTTTTTCACTGATGTTGGGAAACGTATTTATTCTTGTTGTGCACTAAAGAGGACTTGCTGTGAAATTAAAATAAGAATAAGTTTGAAAAAATCTAAATTGTAAGATGTCTTGTTTCCTCCAAAGACAAATAACCTACAATTGAAGGACACTTTTTTCCTTGGGTCTCAGGAGGATATGGCATATAGTTCTAGCAAACCAGCAAATTAGATTTATGAAGTCTAAGTGCTCCACATAAAAAGACTACTAAAATATCCATTTAAATTTGATCTCCATAGATTCAAGTCACTGATTTATGTAAGGGGTCTTATAATATAGCAAAAAGGCTATACAGTATAAACATCACCAAAATAGCATCTGTACCTACAGGTTATGCTACGCTGTGCTTTAAACAGCTAAATCATCAGGTGCACAACAATCGGAGGTGGATATACTTTTTATGAATTTAACAGATTCTGTGTGTGTGTGTGTGTGTGGGGCTTTTTGGCGATTTCTTTCCACTTTACAAAAACAAGCAACTTAAGTGAACTAGGGTGCCTAAATTGACCCCATGTGTGACTGAGTATGTACCCTGCAATGCTTGGTTGATTCCTGCCTTGCGCCAATTGCAATGTTTATATTATATTATATTATATAATTGATAGTGGCAGCCCTATTGGAAACAGAAGGAATAATATGAAAATAGGGAAACATACCTCTGGAATCCACATATGGAGCCATATTAAATAAGAGCAGGATACTCAGCAGACTGATAACAGTACAAATAAAAGCCTCTCCTGCGGATCCTGAAAAACACCAGTCACACAAGATAACATTGAGGAAACATTTGGCAGTACAGTATTTAGATGTTCTGCAGATTGTTCCTATCACACTCTTCTACGGCTGTTAATCAGGGACTTTCATGCACAGCACCTTCAACATTTTTTTCTTATTTATACAGACATTACTCACACATATAAACATTTACTACTGAAATTCCTGATCTCACCTGGATCTTTAGCCAATAAACTTCATAAATCCACTTAATTTTCTACTACTGCTGTCCATAACACCTTTTTAAATCGTAAAACTCACAAGACGCAAGTAATGAAAATCTGTCAGCTTTCAAAGCACTCTTTAAAATTCAATGGGCTCACCTTCAGTTACACCCCACAGGATGAAGGCTGCGGACACCATGACTGATGGAATTGTGACATGTGACCAGTGACTCAACACAGCCTCTCTGCTTTTACCTATAGAAAAAAAAGCAGTACCAAATTTTGTGGTTAACATGTTCTCTATCATTAGATAATGGTTCATGCAATGTTTAACCATCTACAGCCATCCTCAGATGGTCATTCTGCTGCATGCTCACCTACATACACCCAGTACAGTGTCAGTAGATACAGTTCCCAGACATGTGCTCTTGTTTAAGGAGTTTTCACATGTTTTCTCGACCCAGTAACAACCAAGGGATTATCGTTTCCTTATCATATGAAAAGTGCTACTTGCAAATGGGTGGGTGAACAGTGCGGCTTCGAGACTCAACACTCGACTCAGTCACTTTCATTCTCCTTACAAAGCTCTAAAAATATAGTTTATTCCTAAATATATTTGAAAAGTAGACTGTGCAAAGTTTCTGGGGGTTTCTATGACAAAAACTCATGGAGTGTTTTAGATGAGGCGAGATTTCTTTATGATCCCACGGGGGGAATCACCGATTACAGAGGGTTAAGCTTAAATTACAGTTTTTAGATGCACCTGTAAAGCAAAGTGATATAGCTAATGTGAAATGCCCAAGTGCGGTTACACTGTGATAACGGCATTCAAAGAACACTTCTTGTCCAGTCAGATTTCTTGGTCAGAACTCTTTAACCTTTTTGGACATAGTACTGCAGCAGTTGAAAAGTTGTTCACAGTGACAATTGTGACCTGATCTGTACCATCTGCCCAATTTGTACCTTGCAAATCTGCACATGTGCAGCATTTTAGAGCATGGGCATGTGCTTCACAATGCTTGTGTCTGAATTCAGGGGCTGCATTCATAACCTGAATGCGTCACAGCGATCCGACAAGGCTGTCCCATTTCGAAGGCTTCTTTCAAATGCGGTCTAGAAATGCATCCTTCTTTTCCCGCTCCATGAAGAATGCACCCAATGGAGCCCAACATTTCCCAAAATTCATTGTGCAGCAGTTCAGTGGGTGTGTCCCAGCTAGGCGATAGGAGAGCCACTTTGTGACTCCAGGGTAAGGGCAAGAACAGCTAGAGAAGCAAATAGGAAATTATCCGTAGATTAGGCCGTCCCTTTTGATGCTATCTGTTTGACATTCGAAGAATGCAGCCACGTCCTTTGAAATATGCAGCCCCTAAATTTTGACACAGCCATTTTCTTGCACTGCCTGATCTGTTCATCTTGTCACTTTAAAGCAAGGGTGCCCAACTCCAGTCCTGGGGGGCCGGAGCCCTGTGTAGCCCTGTGTAGCTTAGTTCTTTCCCTGTTCCACCATAAATGATTCAGCTCAAGAGCTGTGTGGTAATTAGCACAAGGAGTTGAATCAGTTGTGTTAAATGAAGGGAAACCCAAAAATGTGCAGGGCTCAGGCCTGGAGTTAGGCACCCCTGCTTTAAAGCAAACCATGTCGTCTACATTAACAGCAAACTACATTGGTCACTTGATTGTTTAGTAAGAACTTGCTTCAATTATTCCACTGAAAAAAATGTACTTTAACAAGAAACATAATCATGTTTAGTTTGCTAGGTCTTAGCTGTGTTATTAGATGGATATGCTTACTGCTGAACTGCAAGGAAAAAGGTTCTCGTGTGCGTTTTTTAATCTGTTAACAGAGTTCAACCCACAGAAAACAATGAAATAACCAACAATGAAAAATTTACACATATATTTTTCTAGGATAACGGGGAAATCTAATGCAGCCTCTGCTTGAAACATACAGTTTGAAATCCTTTTTAGTTACTGACATGTGGCACTGCGCTTAAAGTGAAAAATGCCACACTTAATCAGTTAGTAAGTACAGTGTACAAGCACTAGAAGTGAAACACATTGCAAAATCAGAATGCAGAAGAGAGTGTGCATATGGCAGATTATGGGTTGGTGGAAATTGCTCACAAGCAGTCCATAAAATAAACCTGATGTTGTGAAAAGCAGTATCAACAGGCTTAAAAGCAGAGTTACCCAAAATGATCATTCGAACTAAATGAGGTCATTAGCTTAAAGTAACGTACATCAGATTGGGTTGTAAAAATGGTAAGAGCCCAAGACAACATTGGGGGGCACGAATAAGTTAGGAAACAGATCAACCGACAGGCAGTACCATTCACCCTGACCAACTGGGGAAATGAACAAAGGCAGGCACTTAAATACACTGATAATGATGACTAACAAAAGGCAGGTGTGAATCATCAAAAACAACCAATCAACAACAGCACAGGGTAACTAACAGCAATAAACACAGACCTAAGGAATTTACAAGACCTGAAACTAAGGAAACACAGGGAAAAACTACACTAAGAAGATAAAAAAGAAAACAGAAGTACTAAATAAAACTGGAACAGAAACTCAAATACAGCCTTGAACCCATGACTGGGGAATTTACTACTCTGAGCCACATGCTCAACTCAGTGTGGCAGTCCAGGGAACAAGCAGGTCGCGCTACAGGTAAGGGACTACAAGACGGAGGCAGGAACAGGGTGGCCAGCTACACCTGTATCATTTAAATAATAAATTAATAAAAACATCATAAACAATCGGAAAATAAGCGTAAAGTGTATTGAAGCACGTGCTCCTATGTGCAAGGTACAAATCAGGCAGCTGGCCCGGCTGATTTACTGACACATGACTTAACAAGCGAATGGCTTGCTGTGTAAAATGCTCTGCGGTGCATTTAACAGCTATTTACAATGTTACAGTATTTGTTTAATTCTATGAAAGGGACAAGAAAAAAAGGTATTTGTAAAGTACTTTGTAAATGAAATTCAATACTTTTAAGGCCTTTATTTTCAGAATATAAAATTCAATGTTTTTTTAAATACTTTTTAGACCCTACGGGTACCATGATCAGTTTTGGTTCATTGTTTAAGTTTCTTGTGGTTTAGTGATAAGACTGAAATGATTAATAAACATACATAAGTGTATGATACCGAAGGCACAGGATCAAAGTTAAGCCCTGCAATGGACAGGCACCCGGTGTGGATACAGTCCTGCCTGATGCCCCATGTCTGCTATGATGCCCTCTACAGGATAAGCGGGTTCAACCATAGATCAACTGAAATGACTAGAAATAACAGAGCAGATACGTCACAGTAATTCACATTAGCTTCAATAAACACAAAGGCTGGATTAAAACTGAAAATGCTTAAAAATTACTTACTTTCCTTGATAAAATGCCAGACAAAGAAAGCACCAATAATTAGGACAACAAGTGTAACAGTGATGCAGAGCCCCAGAATCAGCCAATGCAGGGATGAATAACCTAAAAAAAATGAAGAAATATGTTACAAAAATTTATTTTTCCAAACAGCCTTGATATACTAGAATAAAATCATCATCTCTAATCCACTAATTAGTCTTTAAAACTGGAGCACAAATTTGTTTATGTGCATGATTACTAATTGGTAACTAATTTATAATGTTATTAAGTGGAAAAAACATAGATTGTACTGCATTGTTTTAGTAGAATACAGCTTATCTAGAGCTGAAAACTGCAATAAAGGGGAAGTCTGAAGAAAATCTACATTCGTTTAATTTGTATATAAAACTGACCAAACCCAGTTAGACTATGGATGTGCATAAAGATCAGTCTACAGCACAACCACTGACCCTGATGAGAATGAAAACTATGTTGAGATGCATGTTAAAAACCAGGCCTTCTAGTGACTCAACCGGTCTTATGTTAATCTGATTTTTAACACCATGCCAGCAAGTGGGGCTATATTCATGGTAAGAGTGTCAGGATATTAAAACAGACCGAACAACCAAAAAGATAAAAACTAAATAATTATAAAATGTTACAAACAATCTAAATAAGATGCTTAGGTAACAATTTATAATAATGTTCAGTTATATGACATATATAAACTCCTGCCTTTATATAAACATTAACTAATCATTTGCAAAACCTCAAGACATTTAGAAGCCTGCAGTTAATGATGAACTAATCATTTACAAATTCTTAAGACATTTACAAGCAATAAGCATGTAGTTAAGGGTTGCCTTATTTAAAACAAATCACTACTTAAAGCTGACAGCTAGTATGCATCACAGATACCTTCATAATTTCATGGTATTTCTCCTGCTGATAAGCCAGTTAAAAAGCTAGCTAACGCTAATGCTAGTGTTTCATTAGCTATGTAACCCGGTGATTTATTCATGGTTTTTTATGCATATGAGCAGTACTGCTGCAGCTTCTGGTAGCAGTGAGGCATAGGTCTTTGCGCCCTTAAGAAGAGCGGGTATCGCACCGTGAACGCAAGGCCATGTAAGCGCCATATTTAGGCTGCGTTGAAGGGTGCGAGATTTGGTGTAACATGCATATCCATGTAATATTTGTATGCAGAGTGCTCAGAATAATTCCTGTGTTACATGGGTATGTTTGAACCAAAAGTATTGCTGTGGGTTAGCGTGTTTGTGTCGGTCATTGCACAAGGGTTCCTTGCTGGTCAATTTTCCCCATTGTATTTTAGGGCAGCCTTAAATCGGTAAAAAGGAGCAACACTGTTTAAAGCCAAATATTTTTTCTTTACTGCTATAAGCTGCTAAGGCAATTAATGTGCTTCTTTCCTTTGTTACAGTGTGGGTAAATGGAGTTCTATTTCTGTGAATTGCTCACGTCTTTTGCAGATTGATCTATGTATGTAAAGTGAGTAATAATATATTAATCCCATTTCATGCATTTGCTAACAAAGGGTTGGTGGTGTTCTGTTTGTTTCTATCTTATAGTGCCACTGCTTTATAATTTTATTGTATGTTTGACTTTGTATTGCGCACACACTGAGGAGGGTAAAGCACAAGATTTATTGTAAAATTTATTTTGCTTTTGTATTGCATAAACATTGAAAAGCATGGATTCACTGGATTTGTTCCTTTCCTGGAAAAGCCTTTCATTTTGGCTATTTAAATATCTAACATAGATACAGGGAATAAAAGACCTGAATTTGTATTTGTGTCTGGAGTGTTAAAGTGTTACTGATGCTTACGATTAGCTTTCGATAAGAAATCTAAAAAAAGCCTCTGGCTTGACTTTACTGAAACCCTCTTTTAAACAGTCAGTAATATGGTAACCAAGCATGAGGGAGTTAAAATAAGGACAATACAATAAAGGTGTTTAACAGTTAAAGGAGTTTTACATATAGATCATACAGGTGGATCTTCACCTGTAAGTAAAAACATGAGAGTCGGCCTGGTTTGTCCTACAGTGTGACACCTTGTGTAGGTGACCTGGTGACTCACCCAGTGCTGCTATCCTGGCTGTTGTACTGTTAGAATCAGTATCTGAGTGGACTTCACACATGAACTCTCCTTTGTCTTCAGTCCTGACTTTCTTCAGTTTCACTGAGAAGTTTCCTTTGGGAATTTCCTCAATGTAGAATTCAGCTCTTCCAGAGTATCTCTCATGTTGAGAATCTGGTCTGCTCTCTCCACCAGAGTAAAGAAGAACCAAGATGTCATCGTCATCATCTGTCTTTCTCCATTCCACCTGAAGCTCTCTCACATTAACATGGGTGTCCACAGAGCAGCTGAGAGTCACATCCTCTCCAGCATGTGCATAGACAGGCTCATCTGCACCCGTCACCACCAGCCGCTCTGGAATAAGAACAGGAAGATTCACACAACCTGGCAACCTGACATTTGTGTGTTTTCCCCTCCTGTTTAGGGATGAACTGAAGATAGTTTGGGCTATTTCCATTTTAACATTTCATTTCTCACTTTTTAAATTTTGCCACTTAGGAACCTGGAAGATGAAAAATTTTTGTTTAAAAATTACATGTAAGAAAGAACTCCAAAGGTAAATGGCACGTCCTGCCTGTAATGCCCATCGTGTATACCTTGCCCCGCCCATTTCCTCGCTGGCGTGGCCGTAACAAGCCACACCCTGGGTGGGTTTGCCTTATCTCTTGTTTCTGCCCCTCTGAGTAATTGCTCCAGCTGTCTCCTATTTTCCGCTTGTCTCCTTTGTATTTCAGTGCTTCATAATAGTCTAGTCCAAGGGTGGCCAATCTTATCCGCAAAGGGTCAATGTGTATGCAGGTTTTTGGGATAACCTGTAGGTCAGCTGTTCAAACCCAGATGTGAGGACTCTTCAGCCAGTCAGTCCTCTAATTAGTAATCTAATTAGGGAGTTGCAGCGAAAACCTGCATACACACCGGCCCTTTGCAGATAAGATTGGCCACCCCTGGTCTAGTCCTTAGATCTGTGATTGAGTCATTTACGTTCCTGTCTGCTTCCCTACATGTCGAATAAACACCCCACAAAGGAGTTTTCCACCACAAGCTGCATTCTGAGTCGTGCTTCTCCTCGCTGACATGACAAATGTACAATATTCAACATACACCAACGGCATAATCAACTCAAGAAATAATTGATAATAATTAGGCCATAAAACAGAAAGGCTCACTTGCCTAATTCCTGTATTTCCACCCGTGTTTCATGTTGCTCCTGCTCTGTATAAGCCACACACTTGTACACTCCTGCATCTGCAGTCCTCACACCGTCAAGCAGCAGAGAGAAGTTGCCTTTGGGGATTTCCTGAGAGAAGAAGTGGGCTCTGTCCCTGTAGGCATCCCCCTGTGATTCAGGTCTGCTCTGACCATCCTGGAATAGGTGCACGATGGTGTCTGAATCAGTCCTTCTCCAGTCCACCTGTAGTTCCTTCAAAGGCAGGGGTCTGTCCACAAAGCAGGGCAGTAGTACAGCTCCTCCCAGCCAGGCTGTTAGAGGACCAGCAGAGCCGTGTAGCAGGAAACCTACCACAGGGATAAGAGATAAAAAATCACTTTATGCCTTAAAATGATTAAATAAGAAATGCAAAACATAGATAGGAATTACTTATGGATATATTATGAAAATATTGCTTTAGCAGTTAGTACACCAAAACTCCTGTTCTTAGGCTCATCTTAATATTTAAAAGAGTTGCACATAAAACTGCCTTCGAAATGTAGGACTTTTTGTTGGGATACATACCATCAGAGTTAATGACGAACTCGAACAAAATCAAAACAACGCTGAAACTTTTGATCAGCATTTCCACCTATTAAGTCCTGATCGCCCCTTTTCTTACACAATGAACCATTTGTATAAGAAAGCAAAATTTCTCTACGTACTATATATACGTATATATATATAGTATATATACACTCGCTTTGATTAATACGGTTATACCTCTACGCTAAACGTCTTTCTGACCATACTTTCACTTTCAGTTTAGCTAAAACGGGGTCTGGGTAAAACGCGGAATTCCGTCGGACGTAACTAAGGAGATTTCGAGGAACTCAGCAAGGCGTAGCAAATGCGTAGTCAGCCAGCGCAATAGGTCGCTTCCGCGTGACGTCACCTTGCAACGTCGCCAAGGCGCGAAATTCAGATGGAGATCAGGAAGTGAAGTAGTAGTGAGGATCTATGCCGTCTGAAAAAATGCTCATGTTTTGTGTAGTTTACGGTTGCTCCAATCGTTATAACCGAGAAAAGGAAAAGCGGTATTTTAGAGTACCAAAGACTGTAGTTCACAAAGGTGAGAAATGTAAAAAACACAGAACAACGCCGTAAAAAGTGGATTTAAAACCTACGTCTGCGGTCGGGAGGAGCAGAGTCTGCTAACAGGCTGAACAAGCTGATTAAAAAGGCTGGTTCGGTCCTGGGTGTCAGACTGGAGAACCTGGCGGAGGTGTCTGAGAGGAGAATGCTGAAAAAGCTATCATGGACAACCCCTCTCACCCCATGCACGCCTCCATGATGATGATGGGTCATCAGGGCACACACAGCAAAAGACTCGTTGCCTGCAAATGCAGAACCGAACGCCACAGGAAATCCTTTCTACCTGTGGCAATAAGAGCATATAACTCTTCCCCCTTCTGTAGGTGATCTTTTTCACCTTTTTCAACATTTATGTCATTAGGTTCTAATTCGGGTTGTACAATATTACTCGTCTGCTTTTTATTTACTCATCGGTATGCTACTGAGGGTGAGTACAATACGGTTGTCCGAAATCGTATTGTTCTTAATGTTAACATTAATTTCATTGTTGATTTGTTAAACATGTGAAAATGTTCTATATATTATCTGTTGAGCGTTCTCTGGTCGAGGATAATCTGCATTTTTTCCTCTCTGTTGTCCCGACAGAAGACAGATGTGGATGTCCAGCTACCAACGTTACTGTTTATGGATGCCTGTTTCTGACGAATAAAATAAATCATAATAAATCAATAAATAAAAATGTTTTTCACCAAACATGTTAGTATTTTATTGTAATTCTGAAGTATTTCTGTAGATCTCATATCCAAGCACTATTGAACTGTTTTTGTGTTATCTAATTAAATTTTCTCATATAAGTAAAGCTACTGTACACCTTGCAAGCACTCCTGTGAAATATCTACACTATTGTAGAAACATGGTTGCCACTCTACAAGCCATTTTATCAGAATTAATGCACGAAAGAAATAAAAGAAAAAGGATATTGCAATTAAGCATCTGTTACATTGAAACATATGGAAGTGGCATGTAGAAATCCTGCCCCAGGACATGTGATATACTGCCAGAAAGCTCGCAATTTGTACTTTACGAGAATGTATGAAAGTGCCTGGGGCAGGATTTCTAATTATGCATTTCGCCCTGTACACTGTAACAATGGGGAAGCTGCGCTACATAATCTATTAGTTAAAGTCCACGGAAGTGGCATGTAGAAATGCTGCCCCAGGACATGTGATATACTGCCAGAAAGCTCGTAATTTGTACTTTACGAAAATGCATGAAAGTGCCTGGGGCAGGATTTCTAATTATGCATTTCACCCTATACACTGTAACAATGGGGAAGCTGCCCTACATAATCTAAAAGTGAAAGTCCACGGAAGTGGCATGTAAAAATGAGTCCCCAGGACATGTCATATATTGCTAGAAAGGGAAGAATTTGTACTTAATGAAAATGCATCAATGTGTCTGGGGCAGGATTTCTAAATATCCATTTTGCCCTGAATACTGTAACCATGCATATCAAAACTGCGCTATATCATCTAAAACTAAAAGTCCATGGAAATGACATGTAGAAATGAGTCCCCAGGGTAAGTCATATATCATTTTAAAGGGCAGAATTTCTTCTTAAGAAACTATAAGGCAATGTCTGGGGAATAATTTAAAATATTAATTTTGGCCAATATACTGTAAAAAATACCTATTCTTGGCTACATAGTATAAATATAAAAGTCCATGGATGTGACATATAGAAATGAGTCCCCAGGGTGAGTCATATATTGTTAGAAAGGGCTGAATTTCTTCTTTAAGATACTATAGTACACATGTAGCCGATCCTTTAATATGCAGCCCTTTAATAACGTACAATCTCTGAACGACAGTAAACAAAAATAACGTGAGTGCTTGCTGGTTTAAACTGGCCAACTTTATGTTCTTTTCTAACTTTCCTGAATCAATTACCATTTTATTATTAATGGGTATTTTCAAAGGAAAACTCAAAGTAGAAGTGTACCATGGCGCCGCCCGCCACCCATCCAGTTTGTTCCCGGTTGGATATTGAGATAAAATAATTCCCTGTCAATCCAATAAATTCTATAGAACTTGTTGTTCTCTGTGAGGCTGGGTTTGAGCAGGCTACTTTGTGATTACAGGCACACAGGTTTAGCCCACTGAGCTACACACTGCCCCATATCCTCAATATGAGAAAATATAAATATTAATTATTTCAACCATTTTCCCAGTAGCATGTCTGTTGACGCTGAAAATGGAGGCTATATACATGTGTAATATAAAGTCAGAGCAGTAAGCACAGTGTAGCCTGTAATTAAGTTGACAGAACGTTAAGTGAAGCGTAGTAGTTCTTAAATGCAATCTTCCTCTGAACGAGGGCAGAAAAAATCACGAAAAAGATAGAGATTGCTATATATTATTTATAATAATTTTATTTTTATTATTACAATTACTACTACTACTACAATTGAGCACACACTTCGTAACCTTTCTCTAAACTAAACATAACTTTAAAATGAACTGAAATCAGGCATTGTGTTATTCATGACAATTATCAAAGGTAAACTCAATGTAGAAACACAGGGCTTGTAGTAAAAGCGCAGTAGCAGCAACGAGGTCGGACTGGATAAACATGCGGATCCACACCGTAGCAGTTCTGCGACGTCATGGATCCAGTGTGTTCCACAGTAGAATCCAGGTGAAGTGGGACACTTTTGATTTCTATTGCACATTGAAATGTTAACTCAGTGTAATTAGCCTACATATGATACCTTTCTGCTATCCCTAAGATGTCTGCTTATGACATCACAAGAATAAAAATAAAATTTCTTGCTTATAGAAGACGTGACACAGGACTATAGGGGAGACCAGGGACAGTTGCAACACTTCTGGGCATTTTTCGATTATTTCAAAATCCATTTACACTGGAATAGCCAATATTACAAGCATTAGCATGTCAGGTACTTGAACAATATATTTAAGTGGTTTTATAAAATATGTACAGGTTGCAAAATTAATTTAAATTTAGTTATTCCACTGTTACAACTGTCCCTGGGCACAGGGACATTTGTAGCACATGCCTGGGACAGTTGTAACATGTCTAAAACAGCCTCCCTAATTAATGTATCAAATCCTCAAAATTGATAAAGCCTATTTGTCATTCATATTATGGATAGTGAGTATCCATTTTTTTAAATAATTAAGAGGGTGAGCCAAGAAGACAGTCTAACTGAGCATGTGCAGGTTGAGTGTAGTCACTCTAGCTTGTTTCTGATTGGAGGAATTCATCGTTTTACAGCTGTCCCATGTTACACCTGTCCCTGGTCTCTCTCATGGGAAACCCCCTTTTTGCCAAGGTTTTGATTGCATTTGCCAGCTTCTCCTCTTCCTCCTTTGTACATACAGGATTTCCCCCTTTTGAATGCCCATGACCCTGAACCTTGCCCTTCACTCTGCGCTGAAGTGTAGATTTTGGCACATTCCTTGCTAAAAGTCTCAGCTTTGGTGTCTGTTTTTCCTGCCCCAGTTGCCTGAACTCACTTATTACTCCTGCCATCCCTCCTTCCCTCTCTCCATGTACTAAGCCGTCTCCATCCCTTCACCTTTCTAGCTTTCTTTCTGCCTCTCTCACCCTTGGCGCCAATGTACACTAAAATAATTGAATAAATTTCAATTAGGAGAAACCAATTTTTTCCTGATTGATAAATAAATAAATATTATTATTTATATATTATATATTATGCATATGGGGCGACAGAGTGGTACAGTGGTTAGCACTGTTATCTCACACCTCTGGAACCCGGGTTTGAGTCTCTGCCATGGCTCCATGTGTGTGGAGTTTGCATGTTCTCCACATGTTGTCGTGGAGTTCTCTGGTTTCTCTCCAAAAACACGCTGAGATTAATTGGAGTTATCAAATTGTGAATGCTATGTAACTGTGTCCTGGGATGGGCTGCCCCCCCATCCTGGGTTGTTCCCTGCCTTGTACCTGTAGCTTCTGTGATAGGCTCCAGGCCCCCCACAGCCCTGAATAGCACAAGCTGGTACAGAAAATGGATGGATTCTTCGGGGGGGAGTCTGAAAAGCTTCATAGCGGATTATGTGTTTTAAATTGTGGGTTCTAGTTGGAGCAGGGGGTGTTATTAGATTGATTAGGAAACATCTGCAATTCAAATTTCTCAAACAAATTAAAGTTAACTTGGGAAGAGTTATAACTGTGTTGGCTGAAGTACAGGGGCAAAGGCTTATTCTGTTTAATATTTATGCTCCAAACGGGGATGTTCAGACGTTCGATACAGACCTTGAAGAGATGTTACAAGCTACCTGCAGCCATATTGTGTTGGGGGAGTGATTTGTTGATGGGTCCAGTTCTTGACTGTAGTCTCAAACACGCAAGCTCATCCAAAGTACATCATACTCACAATTAACTAAAAACAAGGTTCCGTCGTACATGAAAATACATACTAATTATATCACATACAATACAAACAAAGGTTAACAATTACCGTGTGCGCCTCTTGGGCCACATGCAGAATCAGATTCTTTTCAGTGCTGCCCAACTTCTTCTTCAACAATGTTGGCCTTTTCCCACAGTGCAACAGCACCAAACCGTGTCAAACTTTTAGTCATGTGACCCATTACACTTTGCATCAGACAAATTTACATAAAATTGTAAATTATTCAATAAACATTATTTTATCACAGTGTATTTTAAACAGTTTTGCATTTTATCAGCATTAACCCTTTTGATATTTTAATGAATACATTTCAAATCAATTTTAAAGAATCCAATGAACTTAGGTAAATTCAATTTATAACTAAAATGAACTTTTAGAATACACTGTCATTGGGACAGTTACAGCACCTGTTGTTCACAAACATGCACATGTTGCCACAGCTTGATTTACCCCAAAGCAATCTGCATGGAGTAGTTGGCATTCAGCCATCTGCACAACACTGTCCTGTATGTCTGGTTTAAGCCACATTTCCACAAAGCAAAATACAGGTAGGAGGCAGTGCCCCCTGCAGGCTGGTTATCCTCCCTTTTCCACCTGCATGTGCACTTCCTTGTCCATGTCCCTTTCTGCATAAGATTGCCCACCCCTGTCCTTCCCTCATTCTCCTCCAGCTTCCTCCCAGCCTAATCTCTAAGCCAGGCCAGGGCCGCTGTTCCACCTCCTGACTGGAGTCCTAATGACTGTGTCCCCTTAGCACCGATGGAGGCCAGCGGTGAGGAATCCATGGTTACAGTGGGGCTGGGTGGCATGGAGTAGCATCACACCAATTACAGAGAAGACATTCAGGTCAAGAGTCAACAGCCTTACAGAAATACTCAGTGTGGCAGCACCAAATACATTAAGGTGCTTTTAAACACAATATAACAGTGAACGCCCTGAATTTCTTTGGATGTATCACTTCCCAGATTTATATAGTTACTTAGGGTTCATAAAACCCAAAAAAAACAATGCAGGACCCACAAAGTGATGCCCCCTCCTTGTTTGCTTGCTCCACTTTCTGAGTGAAGATCTGCTATCAATATTCAGAGAGAAAAACAGAGTAATTAAAGGAATCAAGTGTCAGAATGAGAATAATGGAGCCACAGGCAAATACAAAACAGTGAGGATTTATTCAGAATAATTACAGATAGCTATAATGTACATTTTAACACTGTAAACACAGCAAAGGTGAGATAATGACATACACATATTTACAAAAGCCTGTTCCTGGAAGGTTATCCTGGGTTACTGGTCCTTCCCAGTATGTCTGCTACATGAAAATGTTTCTGCTACCCAGAAAAATCTTTCAAGTTCATTAAAAAAAAAAAAGAACTGTAACAGATCACTGATAATCCAGTGACTGATTATCTGTCCAGTTTGTTTATGCAACAGACGTGGAAGCTTGAGACTGTAGACAATCTAAAAACTGCAAACTCTGATTAGGATCCTTCAGATTTCAGTGCTTCTTTCCCTGTAACCTGTGAACAGCAGAAGGCAAAGCTGAATTACAAGGGAATGTGTGTCCATCCATCCAATTTCTGAAACCACTTATCCTGTTCAGGGTCACAGGGGGTCCAGAACCTATTCCAGAAGCTACAAGTGCCAAACAGGGAACAACCCTGGACGGGGCACCAACCCATCCCAAGGCACACTCACACACCAGTCACTGACACATGCATACTTACGGGCAATTCAATAACTCCAATTAACCTCTGAGGAACCCAGAGGAAACCCCACAACAACATGGGAAAAACATGCAAACTCCACACATGGAATCCCGGTCCCATAGGTGTGAAGCAACAGTGCTAACCACTGCACCACCATGCCACCCCTGGTGATGTTTGTGACACCTCAAGATGTATTAAGTCAGTAAAAGTGTGGCCCAGGTGTGGATTCAAGGGTGTAAGGACTGGAAGTCACCATGAGAGAGTCTGGGTACTTTATCTAAAGCCCTGGATGCAAGTTCAAAACCTCACATATGAATTACTTTTCTTTATACAAAAACACTACAATATCCCTACTGAAGCTCAGGCCAAAACTGGCTAATTAACAATATAGTTGTGTTAAATTGACATATGTTCAGGGATTGACATAACTGGTACGCAAGTACGCATTCACCTTTAAAAACAATACGTGCGGCAATCGGTTGTAACAGCGTGAATGCGTATGTATTTTATGTGCATTTGCACCGAAATTATCATGCATTTTAACCTTTATATGCTAATTCGTACTTAATTTGGTAGAGGTTAAAATGCACAGTAATTTCTTGCCATTTTGGCGAAAATGCCCATAAAATGTATACGTACGTATTTGCGCTGTTGCATTAATCGATTGCTGCACGTACTGCTTTTAAAGGTGAATGCCTACTTGCGTACCAGTTATGTCAATTTCTGCATATGTTCTTATAATTAAACATGTGTAACTGCCTTATAGTGCATATTTACCTCCTCAGTCTTTGGTTCATTGTGATCAGCAGGTGATGATGCCTCCATCTCCTGATTGTCATGTGATCCCTTCAAGTGCAACTGTCAGCTGATACATTTTATATTAACAGGTTTTGTCAAAGTAGTAAAGTAGGAGCTATTAAGTGGTATTTACCTTTATGTTTGCAAAACTAGTTTTAATTACACAAGTAACTAAACAATAAAGAACTGTTTACATCCCAACAAATATATCATCTTTGATACTTAACCTTACTTAATCTCCATTGCATGGAGACATTTCTAAGAAGCCAGCCTCCTTGTTCAGTAGAAATACACTGTTAAAAACGTACAAGTAACAGTGTCCATGGATCCAGAGTGAGGATCCGTTAGGGGTGCAACGGCATTGCGGTATTTTATGATAAAAATAAAACCTAGTTATATTATTAGTGCTCTTCTATATCGAGGTTTAAATGATGACATCACTGCACATTAATATCCGTGACACACACAAACACGCTATTATTATTACATGAAATATCTATTTAATGTTCCCAATTCACATTAATTCAGATTTTATTCCTGAATCTGTGACAATTTGCTATAATCCTCATAATGCTTGTTCAGTGGCACTTCCTATTTAAAAATAATAGCCGGAATTCCCATCACTAAACTAGACGGTTGTTCATTCACTGTAGGCCTATACATTCATTCCCAGATTTACTTTGCAGCCAATCGGATGCTCGCTTACAGCGCGCCCTTACATGCCTTGCTGGCCATAATTGAGAAGGGAAGCAGCACCCACATCATATTTCTGAGGACTAGCGTAAGAACAAAGGGAATAAATCTTTGCAGGGAACCTTGTGAGACACACTATTTAAAAATGACCGCTGCCAGTGTTTAAAGATGAAGGGCATGGTGTACAGTAAAACCATCCTGGATTATAGGAAGACCTTTGCTTACCTCCACTGGGATTGATTCAAATAAAGATGACCATTCTGCCATCTCCTGATTACCATGTGATCCCCAAAACGGTGAAAACATCTGTTGATAAATTTCGACATGTTCAGTCAAACAAGTAATTTCATTACCATGACCATGGTATTTACCATTCAGCTTATGAATAGTTTTAATGTAACAAAATAAAATTAAGGCCAATCAAAATATATGTAAAATACAACTTTCCTGCATGTACAATGTAAGACATTAGCTTGCTTTGACAGATATAACGACCATGACAATGTAACACATGGGAAAGATCACATTCCTTAATAGTGCTCCTGCCAATCACAGGAAGGCACGTGTATTGGGCTGTGTGTTGCCAGGGTTTGAGCAGGAGGAAGGGGCTGACCTGGATGCAAAGAGGGGCGATTTTGGCTTTGGTTCGGGGTTATGAATGATATGCGTTAGTCCTACCCGGCCCCTAGATGGATAGATAACAAGCTTCAGTTGCAGAGTTTTGGAAAGTTTTCCCAGTGGTGCTGCTGTTCATGGAGCATGGAGAGCATTTGCGAGACAAGGGTGTGGGAGAGGAAGAGCTGCGGCAGGAGCTGTAGCGTGTTCTCCATATGCGAGGTCTCACATGGGGGAGGGCATGACCCCCCCTCACAAAGCCTCCCACATTGCCTCAGCTGCAGCGTCTATGAAAACTCACTTTTACCTCATGGGGGGTCATGGTAGGAGCTGGTCATGTGCCTCTCAGCCCTGGGGACAGACACAGCTATGCTGCACTAGTGGGGGCGCCGAGGAGCCAGTTTGGTTGATCAACCGGACGTCCTGAAAAGTGACCTGGGGGGTTGCCGTAGACAACTGGGTGAGCCTCTTTGGGCAGCTAACGGTACAGAGAACCTGGTGCGACGGCCTATGTACACATGCCCCCCCACTGTACAGAGCGAGCTGCTAAGGACCAGCTCATCAGGACTCTCTCCCCTAAGCAGCTGGTCCATGTTCAGCCAGAGCCACCCTGGGGCTGGCAGTGGAGGGCGAGAGAGTGGGCTGCCCCCCCCCATGCTGTACCCATTCTAAGGATAGGCAAGCAAAGGTGCCAGGGTGATGACAGCCCTCCCCAGAAGCTCAGAGTCCTGCACTCTAGGTCTATCCAGCAGCTTGTAGCCCTGAGGGAGTCTAACCCCAGGATGCAGGGGTCCCGCACTGCTGCTATCCACACTGGGTGATGCAACCTGCCACCTTCACCAGGCTGATGGACATGGTGCTGGTGGGTTTCTCCAGGCAGGAGTGTCTGGTCTACATTCTGGTATACGGTGCCTCTTCGGACTCCTGCGACTCGTGCTGGAGAGGGTGGTGGCAGCAGGCCTGAAGCTCCACCCGGAGAAGTGCCACTTCATGCAGTGAGAGGTGGTGCTCCTGGGGCACCTTGGGAGAGGGAGGGGCATCGATACCATGCAGGACAAAGTGCAGGTGATACCTGGGGGGGTTTGCCTGCATGACCGCCCCCCTGTTCCAGTTGTTACTGAGGGACAGGGAGTTTGTCTGCTCACCGCAGTGCCAGGAGGGGCTGCTTAGAGAGAACTACTGCGTCCCCTGTAGGGAGCTTATGGCAGGACTGCCTTCCATCAGGCACTGGAAGTCCTGCCTGTGTGACCAAATGTCCCCACAATGTGATAAAAACCTGTTATTTGTGGGGAGCATTTTGTTGTTCACCACAAGGGGAAATTCAATTTTATAATAATCTGTGACTGCAATCAAAAAACTAAAAATGCCAGAAGAAAACAAAAGTATTTTGTTTGGTTACTTATGGTCACTTACTAAGGTTATGGCTGCGTAGGGGACTTACGTTGTAGCGCCACAAGTAGCCCTCGTTTTGCAGTGGCAAGCAAATGGGACAATCATCCTGCGTGCAGTTCTCCCAGTGTGAGATGATCTGGCAGGAGGAAGCGCAGTGCTTCACTGCAGGTGTAGAAAGATTGATTCAGGCTGTTAGGTGACAGAAACAGACCAGGCACTGGAGCGAAGGTGAATGCGAGAGCCAAAGGAAAATGAATCCTCCCCCATCCTGAATCCACCCAGAATAGTGTAACAGAAGTGCGGTCCTGCACTCACCCTGGCAGGATGTGCCGGCCTGGCAGTTATCCATGTGCTTCACGACCCTCCTCATGGTGCGGCACTGGGGCCTGGAGCACAACCACGATTCCCTGTAGCCCTGCTTGAGCTGCTGGCACTCGTCAGCGTGTTGCAGGAGCCACAGCCGATCCTGTATCAGCTCGGCCTTCTCCGGGTCGGTCAAGGAGCCCAATAGTGGGGGGGGGGCAAAACAATGATCTCATCAGCAGGGGTCACTGTATGTTTGTTACAGTCACCAAAACAGCCTTCATGCTCTCTATGCTGTGCAATGTGGGCTTGGGCCTGTAAACCTCAGCTGTGTTTCTCCATCATAATCAGACCGGTTTCTGTGCGGCTGGAAAAGCTCGATATCTGAAGCGCCACTCAAAGCCCTTTCCCTCGAGTCCCCATCTGAACGTGGTCTGGGGCCCCTGCTGGTTTGGGGGGGCAGCTCTCACCAGGTTTGCCACCTTGGCGGCACCCAGGAGGTCAGCTGGGAGGGGGGACAGTCTGTTAGGGAGGGGGGACTTGGTCTGGAGCTGGGTGCCAACCCCTCCCACACCAGTGACCCCTGTACCCCCAAGCTGCTGTCCTGTGCCCTGTACATAGGGCTGCCTAAAGGGGGCACTGTTCCTTGTTGCTTTTCTTTAGAAAGACACAAAGACTCCCATTACTGGATGTTCCTGGGGGGTTTTGTCTGCACGGCCACCCCTCTGTTCCAGCTTCTGCCAAGGGACAGGGAGTATGTCTGGTCACTGCAGTGCCAGGAGGCCTTCTGCAGCATGTCTTGTGGTACAGATGGGGGCCTCTACTGTGAGTGCAGAGACACTCCAGATCCAGGACTGGGAGCTCCTCCTAGAGGGGGAGGCCTGTGTAGCATCATGCCAGGGAGAGGTGCTCACCCGCCCTGAGCTGCAGGCTGTCTTGGTGTCGGACTGGAGGTAGCGACAGGAGCAGGACACTGACCTGGCATCAGTGCTACAGGAGGTGGGGGTCCAGGATGGGGCAGCTTCCTCCCAGGAGACCGAGGGGGTGTGGTCCAAAGTCGAGACCCTGTGTCTGCTATGATGTGCTGCAGAGGGGTCTACAGGGGGCAGCACAGGGACGCCAAGGACTTCTGCCATTGCTGTGACCTCTGCACAGCACAGAAGGTCCCTACGGGCAGGTCACTCGTCCAGCTGCAGTAGCTCCCAGTGGGGCCATAATGGAATGAATGGCAGTGGACGTTTTGGGCCCATTTCCCTGTTCTGACAGGGGTAACAGCTACACGTTCATGGGGATGGATTACTTTACCTGGTGGCCGGAAACCTATGCCATCCCTGACCAGGAGGGGGAGACAGTCACAGATGCCCTGGTGGACGGCATATTTAACCAATTCGGGGAGCCAGAGACCAGTGACCAGGGGAGGAATTCTAAGTCTACTGTGTTCCTCTCCCTGTGCAGCCGGCTGCGCATACACAAGACCTGCACCTTCCCCCTGCGGCCTCAGAGTGACGGCCTGGTGGAGAGACACACAGCTGCCCCTAGTGCTAATGGCCTGTCGCTCCTCAGGGCAGGACTCCACATCCTGCACTCTGCTCTCCTCATGTTGGGGAGAGAGCTCTGTACCTCAGCTCAGTTGGCCTTTGATCGCCCCCCTGACTCCCCAGCTGAACCTTCCCCTGAGCCCTGGTCCCCAGTTGTCACACCCCCAGAAACAGAGGTCTCTGGGCATGCCCAGGAATTTGTTGCGGGGGTGTGCTGTGCTTGCCTTAGCTAGAGAGGGGGCTTTTCTTGGGGCAGAATAATCCCAGCCCACTTGAGGTTGGGGGAAATCCACTCCCCTGCATTAGTTCTTTTTGTTTGACGATTGTCCTTCTCTTGGGGATGAGGAACTTTGTAGTGGGTAGGTAGGGTAGCGTCGTCATACACGGAATGCAGTTGCCAATGACGCTGCTGCTGCTGGAAATGTTTTATTTTCTTAATATCTTGGAATACCCTTTCAAGGAAATAGTTTGTTTATTAAGGAGGTATCACACAGTTTTGTTTTAAATATATTTTATAAATGTGCGTGAATAATGATGGCACCCGCTGTCACGATCGCTGGGCGAGTGGGGAACGGGGAATCAGGGTGCAGGAAATGGAGAGTTGGGAACGAGGGGATTATTCCATAGAACAAGCAGAACGAGGTACAAACCGGGCAAAAGACCTCAATGACGGAACTGGGGATACATACTCTGATGTGGACTTAAATACAGCGGACTTAATGAAACAAGAAACAGCTGGTAACATCGGGGTTTCACATGAGGTTAACGAGGGGGGTGTGGCACACGGAAGGATTGGACGATCGGGAGTGACACCTGCTGTTCAGATCATTGAGTCGGCTGATGCAAGGTTGTCAGGTGATCAAGGTAACTTCGACAAATGTGCACATGTGTTGGGGGGCCAGAAGGAGCTGTGTTTGGAGTGAAGCAGTTTCACTAAGAAGAGTGTTTGTGAAATATTAAACAGCGTACCATCTCCCAAATATCTGGGCAGAAGGCGCATGAGGTATGTTGTTTTTGTTGTGCATTCTAACTGTATGTAATATATTTATTGCTTCGACATTAATGTAAATATGATAATGGACCTCTGAAGATTTATGTGTACGGATAATATTATTATTTTTTTTTAAATCACAATATTTATTTAATTCCAGTTTTTTATGGTCTCAGAGGTAAGAAGGAAGATAATAAATACTCTATGAAAATTAGCTGAAGTGTGGAACCAGCTGAAAAATCTTGGGAGCATTTACACCGGCGCCCTGCCAGTCACGGGATGGCATGTGTATTAGGCTGTGTTACCTTGATTGGTGTGTTGGGGGGAGGGGGTGTAACTGACCTGGATGTGATGAGGGTCTGTTCAGTTCTAGCTTTGGGTTCAGGTTTGTGGATGGCATGTGTACCGGAGTGTATTTCCAGATTATTCAAGCTGGTCATTGCCAGTAAATATTTCTTTTGTTAAATCAACATTTGTCAGTCTTATGGTATTATATGACGGCCTTCCATACCGTGTTTAACAACAGGGACCCATGACCATGGAGAATTTACTGACATGTACCTGTGTGCTGGAGTCATAATAAGGGCTCTTCCTCTACCTCAGACTCCATACTTACAGGGAAGGAGGAAGAGCACAAGGGCCACAGATTTGCTACAGACACAATTATATATAATAATCTGAGGGAAGATGGTCAGACTGATGTAGAGAAACAGGCCCCAGGACAGCAGCCAGAGGGGCAGATGTATCTTGGACACCTACCTCGTTTGGCTCAAGATCTTTGATCTGGGTGAACGCTTCTTTTATTCTAAGGAAAAGATAATACAGTTTAGAGCTGTCACCATTTCTCGATCATACTCGATTACTCAATTATTAAAAAGCATTGATTCAAACTTTCCTTCTTGATTACTCTGCAATATGGAGGAAGGAAGATGCCATATAGCAGATGGGGATACAAATAAAGAGCAAAAGCATCAACTGTACGGAAGCCCTTCAGATTAAAAGTGAATGAAAATGCAGCGTCTGTCAGTATTGCAAAGCAGAACGCAAATATCTTAATTTTCTTTGCATGACCAGTTCTTGTTCACTTTCCCCCTCTACATTCACACATAACAATATATATAATTTAATTTCTGACAAACGCACCCAGAGGCGGATTTTTACTTTCTGGACCTGAAATGTCCGCCTCTGAACGTGCCACACAGTCTATCAGTGAATCCAACAAGCAGGCAACACAGTGGGTAACAATGGCACCTCATACCCCCTGGCTTGGGCTCTACTCACATTCCTTTTCTGGACAAATCTGTAAGTAAAAAGAAGAACAGTGATACAATTAACTGTTCTCTAAATGGTAAGACATCAATGTGTTTGTTAATGTAATAATGTCGAATAATGATTACTAGTATTTATTTAATTAGCATACAATGATGAGAGCTTCAGCCTTTTGTATTACATAGACACATGTGCTGTATCACTGAGGATGTTTTTATATCATCTCCCTTCCTTTGTAATAGTCAAGGCTCCCCATTACAGCGTCAGTGCCCCCTACTGGCCAGGAGGCCATTACAGTCCTACACCACTGAAACAGCATCATAAAGGCACACCAAAAAAGCTCAAAAGAATTTAAGCAGCAGTGTTATCCTGAGCCATACAATGTGGTGATTAAACAGCATAATTCAGTTACAAATGATGTATTCATCTAGGTTAAATCTAGGTTAAAATATATATTGTACAGTAGACAATGACTTGAAAGCTGCCAGCACATTTGAAAAGTCCTAGTACAAATATATACAGTAAGTACTTCAGGTACTTACTGACCTGGCAGGGCAGATACCATGATCACAAAGGTGGTTCACCCAGGGTGAGGCCCAGCCATTGCCCTGTGGCTGTGCTGACCCCTGCAAATTCCCCAAATGTGGGAATCTACACCGCATAATTTCTGGTGGTGGGGGACTGCGTTCACGCTCTCCCCGATTGATTTTTTTTTGTGTTAACACTGATCACTTAATTCTAAAGGTAAGTTATGCATAATTTGGCTGTTATACTTACAGTATGCAGACATCTGTGCAACAAACCAGCCAAAGAGGAAGACAGACCCAGAAATCAGGACCATCAGCCGTAGATCCAGTGGCTGTTTTCCTGTGTCTGAAATGACATCATCACAACAATCACTGAAAACGGAGGTCAGTAAATGAGCAATAAGTGAAAGAGATTAAACCATGAGGACCCATATAGTCTTTCCTAAAGGGTTTGTGTAATTTAGCTGCATTGTTAAGTCTACTTAGGAAAAAGTAAAATTGCAGAAGAAACATCTCAAATTTATAGTGTATTTACCTGCTTTGAGTTTTAATGCTACAGCCAGGGCAACAGAATTCAGGAGAGGGAGACCAAAAGCCCCTGAGAAATATACATATTTACGGGGTTTGGCTGAAAGGTAGAGAGAAAAGCATTAGTCATACAGCTACATATACATTCAAATAACCATACATTTTTATTTGGTTTTTCATTATTTAAACATTAAAATGCTCATTTTATTCAATTAAAAAATTCATATAAATACAAAACTTCATTAAATACAAAAAAATACATTTATTTTACAAGAGCATTTCAGACATTTCAGATCTGTGAATTTAAGCTTAAAAAAAGTGTCAAAAAAATGTTTTGTACCACAGTGTTCATCCCGATTCCAGTCATCATTGTTTGTGACAGTCAGTATATAGAGGAATACAAACTCGCACATTTTTTCAGGTCGTCCTGTGGTCAGGGTTACAGAACAACAGAGGTTATTAATGATGGCAACAAATTGCTGTTCCTGTAACATCAGTAAACACATGAAGAAGCATTCATAACAAAACCACTTCATCATTGGAATCATATGTGCTTTTTACAACTTGACAAAAGGTATGACTTTAAAGAACATTTTTACTGTCTGTTCCTTAACCATTAATAAACTAATCATTACTAATCATTTGATAACATATTAATGCATAGAAAAATTAATTCACAAATTTAGAAATGCATTGCAATCATATCTTGCTCCTGGTTGTAACAAAACAGCTAGTAAATCACAAATATGAAACAGTGACACAGAGCAGGGAGCTGCACTTGTAGAGTGTCACCATGAGAGGGCGCCGTCTTCAGAGATATAATACATTTCTGAATCTGATTGTAAGTGAATCTTCTTATTTACTAGCATATTATCAAATGATTAGCAACCGTTTATTAATGTTTAAGGAGCAGACCTTAAACTAAATTGATACCAGTTTTTCTTACCTTTGTCATGTTCCAGAATCACACTTAGATACAGGAAACTTAATATTAGGTGAAGTGTGATAAAAATCCCCAAAAGGATTTTCTGGGCCAAATCTAAAATACATCAAAATGTTAAAAACAAGAGATTAAATACATATAAAAACAGGGCCTTTATTAAATATTTTTTTGCAATTTTTTTGCTAAAAATCCTAGAGTTGGGATTTTAGAGCAGGTGGACAAAATAATGGAAATATCAACATATTAATATTAAGGTCCTAATAAGCAGCGTAACCCAATGTTATCTAATGTAACCCAAACGATTTCTTTCGAATGTGGACCAACCAAAATGCCAAGCAGATACTCAGAATAAAACTGGATGAAAAGCTGGCTGACACCACAGCTTGTGTTTGTGTTACTGGGTACAATAGAATTCTTTTACTGTGATTAAAATACATAACAAGCACAGTGATTGTGACAGAAATGATCAGCTCATGTTACTTTTATTTAGGCTGCTTCCTAAAAGAACAAATTGTTAAAAAAAAACACTTGAAAAACCAAAATGATAAAATCATATGATTAACAAGATATAATAAATCTCCACTGAAAGCCAGTTAAAGGCAGACAAGCAGATAAGCATAAGACTGATGGGAATATAATGAATTCTGATCATTTTTAGTGTTTGTGCAGAATTACTGCATTATTGCATTTCAATATGAAATACTTACAGAAATGTCTGAATGAGCGCAGAAATACTTTGGCAAAAATACATGCACACATTCCCAAAGAAGCTACTGTAATCGGGATGAAATATCCTGAAATCAGGAAGGAAATGTTACTATACATTAGTTGTGCACAAATTCCCCACCCTGATTCCACATTCACACATTCAGTTATAGCTATGAATATAAACTTAAACATGGTCAATGTCTAAGTTTCATGTGTTTGGTCTTATGCATTTAAACACTCCACACATCATATGTCCACACAATCCCAGTCACATGACCCTCACAATTACATACACTAGTAACAATAAAGGAAATACTGTCAGACAGCCGTTTCTACTATGAACACAAGCATTTATTATTCATCCATCCTCCTGCAGGACCCACACATAAATGAGATTTAAAGGGTTTGGGCCAATGAGGGATCAGTTCCCATCCTCCACAGGTGCCACATACATAAACAGGGAAGAATCCTCAGATAAACAGTCATTCAATGAGCTCCACCTGCACAAAACGCGACACAAATTGGCTTCGCTAGTTTCCTACCGGCTCATTTTCACGGCATGCACGCACGTACTCAAAATAGCTAATGATTTTGCCCGCATTTTCCACTTGTAGGAGTGGTGTTTTTTAAATGAGGCGTGGCTGGGTGCATTGTTGGCGTGCTGCTTTTTTAAGGCAGCAAAATGGCATAGCCCTTTTAACCAAAAAAACCACGTCTAAAGGCAGTGGCGCACAGTATTTAAGCAATGCTTCGTTACGGACACAGGTTACATCCTCGAGGTGCACTATTTTATTTAATGTTTTAATTTATTATAGAGTACAATATTCATATTAATTTAATGAATCATATTATTTAATGAAACGCCAAAAGGAAAACAATATATATTGAGTATCATAACTGTATCATTAAACAATCTTTCGAGTTCATTATCAGAATTAAGCACATACTGAAACTGAAAGGGCATTTGGATTGCCAAAAATGCGTTTCAGATACAGTATTTAGATACATCAGGTGGAACATTACAGCCCCCAAAAGGTCACGGCATTCTTTGTGGCATGTTGTGTGTTGCATAACATTGCATGCTTGATGGATGGCTGCTGAACATAAATGAGGTCACATTATAAGATTTTAGAAAGTGTGCTGCTGAACCTAAGGCGCCCATGCCAACAAAGGAGTGCATGTCTACAGCAGCTGGGCAAGGAGGGATCCGCTGGTAGGAAAGCTGAATCTTCTTTAGCCTGATAAAGAATCTAAATTGTGATATTTAGAAAAACAGCCCTATTGCCTTTTATTTGAACATTTTAAAATAATGTTCAATGTTCAAAATAATTTGAAATAAGGCTGTAACATTACAAAATGTGGAAAAAGTGATGCGCTGTGAATACTTTCCGGATGCACTGTATGGGTGCAATGATGTTAATGGTACTGCAGGCGGATCAAGGGATTATGGTTAGGATTAGGGTTAGGATTATGGTTAGGATTAGGGTTAGGATTATGGTTAGGATTAGGGTTAGGATTATGGTTAAGATTAGGGTTATGGTTACAATATGTTTGTAGACATTCTGTTACTTAGACTAGTAAACACTAAGATCCTTCAGCTCTTAATTACCCTGACACGACAGACTAAACCACAAATGCACATCCGGCATCTTTACACCTTGTATCCTTATATGGTAATTGTGTGGCATCGTACTCCGCCCATAACTTGCTCCACCCCTGGCTGCAGCGAGGCAAGCATGCCTTTGTAATAGCAATCCGCAGCTGCGCTTTACACTTTGTGTTAGAGCCTTAAAATATAGCCCACTGGTTTTCCTTTTCCTTCTTTCTTTTTGTTCTTCCATCTGGCACATTATGTATTCTGGTTGCTTAGAAATAAAAGCATATACAGTATATGTTCCATGTACTGTACTACGATCTTTTTACCAATTGTAAATGTATAAGTATTATAGAATATTAAGAATTAATTACATATATTTACTGAAAGTATCACAAAACCTTTAATTTAATTATAAAACATTTAATTATACATTTATAACTATAACATTTAATTAGAAAACTCACCCAGTAAAAATGTGCGTTGCATCGAGGCATTAAGATGGACATAAAGAGTAAGTATCAGTATGTTAAACATCACATTTAAACCTGTAAGTGTAAAACAAACCAGATTAGACACAGCACAGAGCTCCTGGGCTAATCAGAATTGAATGGCTCAAGTCCAAAGAAAATCTGGCTGTTGGTCCTGAACCACTTCAATAAAAACATCCTACTGACTCAATGGGCAAATTTGTATTAGTTCAAGATTAACAAAAATCTACTAGGGATTCAAAATTCCTATGATGTAATTAAACGAAATATACATATTTAAAGAATTGAATTTTTTTGTGCCTTTATATGTCATTCTGTCATGTCCTGCCCTGCCTGACCCTCCTGTTTCCTCCCTGGTGTGGCTCTAACAAGCCACGCCTGGTGCTCAGTAGCCTCCCCTCTCGTTCCTGCCCTGCTGCTGATCACACCCAGCTGTCTGTCTGCTCGGATTTTACTGCAGTGTTAAGGTATTCCCAGTCTAGTGATCTCCAGTTCTGTCATTGAAGTCATATTGTTCTGTTGTCTATGCCCTTGCCTCTCCATTTGATCCCCTATGAGGCAGCATTGCTTATGGTTAGGTTCAGTTTGTTTAACTGCCTTTGTTTGCCTTGATTCCTGCTCCCATGTCCTCCATTCCACCCACTCACAACAGATATGTAAGGGCTGTGTAACAGATATGTAAGGGCTGTGTAACAGATATGTAAGGGCTGTGTAACAGATATGTAAGGGCTGTTTCACTAGGCCAACATTTCCTTCTAATGCAAAACCAATAAACCAAGAACTAATGTTAAGAAAATCCATGCGATTCACTGGGATTCCCCTGGCTGTGCTTCCCGGCGGAGGCTCCAAGAATCTCGATTGGATAAGCCAAAAGATTATGGGATGTTAGGAAAATGATCGGGGCTCAGACATTTGATTTAATACATTTTAAAAAGAAATACCTGTATAACTAATTCTGGTTCAGCGTTCCAGAAATAACTGGGATGTAAACAGCAAAAGAAGTACAGTATGTGTAGTACCAAAAGAACATACTTACTTCGGAATAAATTAAAGAAGCTAAAAAATTTTCGCATTCTTGCTTCTTCAGCGCTCCTTAAGTAATGAATCAGCAATATCCCGAACCCAACAACTGAAATGAGATAAAAACATAGTCACGAAATTTGTCAGAGGCATAAATAAGATGTGCTCAGTGGTCCTGTGTTTAAAGCCCTGCACAGTACTGTCTTCTGGTGGATGTGGGTTTGAATCACATTGGGGTACTGAAAGAATGTGATGTGTATGGGCAAAACATCATGTAATACATCCCATAAAATTTATTCATCAGTAATGAGAAATATTTATAAAATGGTCAAGCTTCTCACCAGGTGCCATTTAATTACTTACAACATGAAATGAACTGGCTCTATACTGAGTTCTGACCCTCTATCAATACATCAATGCCCAAAGTAACTAAATAAAACTAAAATAAACCAAAAAAAGTACATTATAAAAATATGCTAATATACTTACATGGGATTAAGAACACGATCGTCGGAACTATAAAGATAGTTAGAAAAGCTCCAATTTCTGCTACTCCTTCTCTTCCAGAGAAATATATTGCAAGAAACACACCAAGACCAACTGAAATGAGGTAAGAATACTGAGTCATTATGAAATTCATGACAGACACACTCAGCGATCCTGTGATTAAAAGAGCACAGCCCTGTCACCTGGGGGTTCTGGGGTTGAGTCCCATGTTGGACACTGAGGTACTGAAAGTACATCCCAGGTTAAGAACACTGTTTAACACTGTTTATGCAAAGATAACGATGGTTCAGTGGGACATTATGCCATAATATACAATCATGGCCAAACGTTTTGAGAATGACACAAGTATTGATTTTTACAAAGTCTGCTGTCTCAGTTTTTATGATGGCAATTTGCATATACTCCTGAATCTTATGAAGAGTGATCAGATGAATTGCAATTAATTGCAAAGTCCCTCTTTGCCATGAAAATGAACTTAATCCCAAAAAACCCATTTCAGTGCATTTCAACCCTGCCACAAAAGGACCTGCTGACATCATTTCAGTGATTCTCTCATTAACATAGGTGAGAGTATTGATGAGGACAAGGCTGGAGGTCACTCTGATTGAGTTAGAATAGCAGACTGGATGCTTTAAAATGAGGGTGGTGCTTGAAATCATTGTTCTTCCTCTGTTAACCATGGTCACCTGCAAGGAAACATGAGCAGTCATCATTGCGTTGCACAAAAAAGGACTTTAAAGGATATTGCGGCTAGTAAAATTGCCTCTAAATCAACCATTTATCGGATCATCAAGAACTTCAAGGAGAGACGTTATATTGTTGTGAAGAAGGCTTCAGGGTGCCTAAGAAGGTCTAGCAAACACCAGGACCATCTCCTAAAAGTTGATTCAGCTGCGTGATCAGGGCACCACCAGTGCAGAGCTTTCTCAGGAATGGTAGCAGGCAGGTGTGAGTGCATCTGCACACACAGTGAGGCGAAGACTTTTGGAGGATGGCCTGGTGTCAAGAAGGGCAGCAAAGAAGCCACTTCTCTCCAAGAAAAACATCGGGACAGGCTGATATTCTGCAAAAGCTACAGGGATTGGACTGCTGAGGACTGGGGTAAAGTCATTTTCTCTGATGAATCCCCTTTCAGATTGTTTGGGGCATCTGGAAAAAAGATTGTCAGGAGAAGAAAAGGTGAGCGCTACCATCAGTCCTGTGTCATGCCAACAGTAAAGCACCCTGAGACTACTCATGTGTGGAGTTGCTTCTCAAATAAGGGAGTGGGCTCACTCACAATTTTGCCTAAGAACACAAACATGAATAAAGAATGACCTCCGAGAGCAACTTCTCCCAACCATCCAAGAACAGTTTGGTGATGAACAATGCCGTTTCCAGCATGATGGAGCACCGTGCCATAAGGCAGAAGTGATAACTAAATGGCTCAGGGAACAAAACATTGACATTTTGGGTCCATGGCCAGGAAACTCCCAAGACCTTAATCCCATTGAGAACTTGTTATCAATCCTCTATAGTGGCGAGTGGACAAACAAAAACCCACAAATTCTGACAAACTGCAAGCACTGATTATGCACGAATGGGCTGCTGTCGGTCAGGATTTGGCCCAGAAGTTGATTGACAGCATGCTGGGGTGAATTGCAGAGGTCTTGAAAAAGGGTCAACACTGCATATATTGACTCTTTGCATAAGAGTATACCATTGAAACATCTGACGAAAAGATCTACAAACACTGAAGCAGCAAACTTTGTGAAAACCAATACTTGTGTCATTCTCAAAACTTTTGGCCACTGTATACATAATGGTGGGTTGTGTTTTTAATTCATGTAAAGCAAAATATTAAGATTCAAGCTCTGATTCATACATGTATTTTGTGCATGAAAAATGTACAAAATAAATACCCGACACATAAACCTGGCCCAGAATTCCCAAAACATAAGGTAAAATACATACAGACTTACTTGCGACTAAAATCATGATTATCAGAAATAAAGATGCGGCCCATAGTATTTTCTTCAGTCTCTCTAGTGTTAAGTGAAACCAAAACCAAAACTCAAAAACTGAAAAGAGGTAAGAACAGGGTCAGTCTGCGTCACATTCATGTCAGGAACATCACAGGTAACAAGAGTCAAACATCCTATAATGTACTAAACATCCTATAATGTTAAAGATTTAAGAATACATTAAATCAAATTTAAAGGTTCCTGTAAATCTTCATAATGTAAAAAACACTTCAGTAGCTAATTATGGTCCAGTATTCCTGAAATCACCAATTACTAAAAATGTATAAATATACTAGATTATTTTACACTTGTGAAAGTACTTACATTGCATAGAAGCCATAAAGATCATCATAAGTACAAATCCACCTACAAAGACTCCTAGTGTTACTTTGCCAGTTGTGCTTGCAGAATATTTTGCCAAAAATTTAATGACAGGAACTGAAATGAGGTAAAAGCAGAGGTAGTCATCATAGGATTCATGTCAGACACACAGGACATAAACAGATGGGCTCAGTGCTCCTGTTTAAAATGGGTTATGAAAAGGTAC